GATCCCGGAGATGATGTTATGTGTACACATAAAATCAGGTTATGATTTCAGAGATGATGTTAGTGTAACAAATAACAACACAACTAGTGTTCGATTCACAGTAAACTAGCACAAGGGTTACGCGAGCGACACGAGTCTAAAGTCAACAATACTACGCATGTCCGACCTAACTCGGGCATAGTCCCAACGCTACACTACCCCCTGCCACGTAAGGTCAGAGGCACAAGTGAAAACATCTAACAGCAGCATGCAAGTGTTCGTACATAGTTAAAGGGCCAAGTTGGGTAAACTACAACGGTTGTAACATAGTCTCGGAGCCAGACGGGCTCTCTTCCTTCACGTCTCGGTCTCGCTAGCTGGAGTATGACACAACACTATGAACTAAAAACCCATGAAAATCCTGTGAATTAATTCATGGTAGATTCACAGGATTTTCAAAGGATTTTAATGGTATTTTCATGGGAAATCGTATAAGATTTTTCATGGCATGTCACCCTGGAAAAAGCATGAAAAAAACATTAAAAAACCCATTAAAAACCCCTTAATCTTTCAGTTTTCATGGGCCATGAAAACCCTTAAGTTTTGGGCAAATCCATGAAATACTCATAAAAACACCATGAAAATTTTTGGTCGCTTTCATGGCCTTTTAATGGCATTGAAAATGCCATGAATTACAAAGAAGAATTTTCATGGTGTTGTAGTTCATGGTCTTTTCATGAGGCCACTGAATTCATGGCCCATGAAAAACCCATGGTTATTCCATTAATGTTGAAAGATTAATTGACCATGAAAAATGTTCGTGGTTTTTTTATGGCTTTTTGAAGACCCATGAAAATTAATAATTCAATGGCCTTTCACTGTTTTCATGGCATAAACAAAATATAACATGGACCATGAAAACTACATTAAAAGTACTTGACTGTTAACCATTCTTTTCTGGCCCCCAAATCAAATTAATTCAAGCTCACTTATGGAAAATTAATGATGAAAACACTAACTAAATGGGTTGGAACGTATACTGAACTTCAACAAGCAATGTACATTGACTTTATTCCACCCTTTCCATGGCATTAAATAGACAACACTATTTTTCCGGTATTATTTCATATTCAGACTTGCCACTACAGTAAATGCAATAATAGTGATAGAACACTGTTCACATAAAAAAAACTAATATTAAAATCATGTAGCTGTTTTTACGGAACAACTTATATTCAACCTTAGGATCTAATAATTTCCAAAATCTTGAAAATCTGCAATATTTCCAAATAAGGATTTTAATTATAAAAATTCCCTATAACCTCTTCCGAGAACAATTCAATTAAATATTTTTCGCTTTCTTTCTACCTGGCAACTGTATAAATCTGATATCAGACATAAATCATCATCTATTAATTTCAAAAATTTGATCATAAATAATTTCATTTTGTCATATAAAATATGTGGAATAAGTTTTAAAAACATTTGAGTAGATAAGCAACTTTTTTCACTGCAATATCTTTACAACTGGAACATTTTTAAAAATAAAATTCTTATATTGAAGAAGCTTTGCCTAATTCCAGCATACAATTTACTAAGAATCATTACATTAATCACAGCTGGCCGTGATCATGATGACATATATATAACTTTCTTTCTTTCGGCGGGTAATAATAATTGTCTCAAATTGTTATACACAAAAAAAGACATGTCATAAAAAGAAGGACTCAGACTTAAAGTGAAAATTTTCATTTCCATGGTATCTTAATGGCTCATGAAAAATTAAAATAATCCCTCACCACTTTCATGGGGGTGAGTGAAACAACACTAGTAACACTATGAAATTGTCCTTAAAATCACATGACACTGATCTATATGAGCAAAATCCACATGAATGAAATCTAGGCAGAGCTGTCATTAAGAGCTGTGGGCCGGGGACTTTTCCGGCTAGTTGCATAGGAAAATAGAAGAAAAATTGAACCAAAAGAAATCCCTAGCTGTTTGATTCCCCACCTTAGTACTTGTTGTATTTACCTGGCAATGTGAAATCTTAGTGACATCTCTGCTGCCTACATGTTAAGACAACACATAAATATAGTGCATTAAGTAACGTATAGCTTAAGTCATGATTAAAAAAAAATAAAACATACCCTGTCAGGGAAATCTCTAGACATTGCTTGTTTATAATCCAAATGACAAGATCAGCTGAAATATTCTCCTTTTTCAAATTTACTTTACTCAGCATACACATCACCACATACATCTAACATTTGGATTTCAATTTTTTTGTTGGAAATATTTTTAAAATTGTAACAATTATGATATTAAATGACATAGTGGCCAGTTCTTTCCAATTTCTGCTTATTAAGGTATACCAAGCATGGTGAGGGTAAAAGGCGGAACGAGTTTGCGGAATGGCATGTGGCATGGTTTGCAGAATGACATAATTATGCGGAATGTAAAATATGGAAAATGGCGCAAAGAAATAAATTAAACTGAAAAACATGCGCGCATCTTTGCCGTCCCTTTTTTTGGCGTCAATCTGAGTGAGCAACTTTTTTGCTGGTCCATTTATTACTGCTGATGGCTTAAACCAACAAGGCAGAGCAGAAAGTGGCGATAAGCTTTACTGCATTCATGTCTGTGTAATACTATTTAATACTTAATTTATTTTTGTTGCTTTCGACAACACTTTCTCTCTTTCTGCCCACCATTATAATAAAGTCAAATGTCAAAACGCTAGAGAGAAAAAACGCTTGTTGAACGTGAAGTCGGGCAAGCTACAATTCTGGGGATTATCAATTAATATGGTGGACGGATCAGATCATTTTTGAGACTAAATGAACACCCCGAGTCAAAGATTAATCTGTAATCCACAAATCGACTGAAGTGAACTGCTATCTGTCTCCTTTCGGCCTTTCCACGTGTCTTCGCACCTTCCTTGTTTGTGTGAGTGTGTGCATTTGATCGTGAAATAATGCTAAAGCTGTAGGATGGGGAAAAAAAGAAAAAAAGACACACACTCAATTGCCAAGATTCGGCTTCGCCCTTCTCCGCCAGCTGTTAGCTTCGCGTGCCAGAAACTTAACCAAGCAGCTAAAGAAACAGTATACATGTGCAAGATCCGTTTCATCTCTGAATATTACGTTACAATTACGTAACCCACCATTTGAAAAAGAAACACTTCTCACGCGGTTGCAAATACAAATATAGGCAAAAAGAAACTGTAAAGTTAATCGTGCAAACATTTTTGCAGAAACAAATTAAAGTAGAAGGGAGCATGACCTTCCAAAACATCTTTTCTTCAATTATGGCCGACTTTCGTGCTGTAGTATCGGTGCTGCCATGCAGCCCGACTAATAAAGGCAAGAAGAATCTTTGTGGCTGTGCGGAAAAGGCTAATCGACAATGAGCTTTCGTGGCTTTTTGATTGTCATCGTATGTCAATATTAAAACAGCGGCTGCGTTTGCAGATTGATTGGCGCCAAAAAAGGGCACACTTTTCAGTTTAAGAGGCTATCCATGAGAAAACCGTGCAAAAGGTGCTACAGTGCACATCACAGAATTGGCTCAAACTTTCCACATAGGCATAACTTGGTGAAGTATAGGTGGATATGGTATTAGTTTTGTTCAAGTTTCTTTCTTTTCGTTTTTTCAGGGGGGTACCCTTGAACAGCCAAATCTACACTGAAATATGTTCAAATTTTGTAATTTTTTGAATGACAATGTTTGTGGCAAATTGTGCAGCAATCCAGGTGAAACAAAATTCTCATAAACTACTAAGTATATACTCTTAAACGATGACAACATAATCAGTGTGACTCTTTTTTATTAAAGTTTCCATAGCACTATTTAACATGACATATGTTAATGAGAAAAATTATGCAAATTTCTTGAGTTTTCAAAAAAAAAATAAAAAAGTTCTCGCAGAGCTTCAAGTAAAGTGAAATACTTGACGATTTACACAGAGATATTGTCTTTTGCTCTGGTATATAAAACTTCTGGGTATTGCAATAGTTTAAGAGAAATACCGAGGTTTTACTGGTCACCATTTGCTTACTGATCGTTTTACTGACTTACGATAATGCTACAATTCATGAGCATTGGTTACATTTCCCCAGTGCCTTTGAAAGAAATTGCAAGAAAAACGTCTTAATAGGAGATTCTAACCTGCTCTGTACATTGTTATGTTTCCACGGGATTATATCTGCCATAAAACCGTCCAAAAGTGCACCTTCCATTGCCGTTCAGAAAGACTGAGTGGTGCGATAAAACACAGGCTGCGACTTATTTCTCAGACTTGGTGCTGTTGAAAAGGCCAATACTCTAATGCCCATTTTGATATTTAAATTGACAACAGTTATCATTTGAGTCTGGACATAAAGATTACGACAGAAAGGCCACAACTCATGACAACAGTCAACTACAACTCTTTCTTCCGCCATATTGCATTATGCGCCTGCAATGAAAAACTGACCTGCGGTAATAAAGTCCATTGTGTAATCAACGGGAAGTGTTCTTTTGCTTATTGCTTTAGCAAATGGTTTTCTTTGATGCCATTTACAAATTTCGTATTTTTGCTTTGCCTGGCAAAGGGTAAGCTCTTTTTAAAATTTATTTTAAAGCCTTATAAGGTGATATAATGAGCTGTACGTTGTATACAATGGATAAGAGCCAAGACATCTTCCAATATCACATAACGTAGAAAGAACTAGATCCCGGTTGTTCAAACGTTGGATAGCGCTATCCACCAGATAAATATCTATGCACTGGATAACGCAATTGGTTTCCCTAGTACTTATCCGCTGGATAGTGATTTATCCTGTGGATAGTAAATACTAACGTTTGAACAACCGGGGCCTGAAAATTGGTTGCAGAGCCCCGTGTGCGGAGAAGGGACAAATTTTTAGTTTAGTGCACCTAGACAGCACGCGTTATAACGGGCATTGGTAACAGGTATCTCCTATCTAGCTGCTAATCGGCTCTGGTCCATCTTTTTCTCAACGGTTTTTAAGCTCCTTCTATAAGTCCACAACGTAAAAAACTTTCTCTCGCATGGACTCTCGTTCTCCTCTCTCAACAAGGGCATCGAGCACATCTTCTTCCTCTATTACAGTCTTCTTGTTTAAAGAAAGCTTTCCACTCTTAGCGACCGATGCGAGACGTGAAAAGTATGATGTAACTTGTTGCGCGCTGAGCCAGTCTTTAGAAAAAAATAATTTGACGTCATCTGGTCCACGAAGTGACTTCAAGTTTGAGGCAACAACGGCAGGGTCGCTCTTATTTCCTGTCTCTTCTCCATCAAGAAACAGTGGAAGGAGGTACTCTTTGGCATGTTCTGAAAATCGCCCGGTCTTCTTGTTTTTCTTCAAGGCCCAGCCAAGCTCAGCAGTGGGGTACTCTCTGCACTCTTCTTGGCTCAATCCTTCAAGGTTCTTTTTAAATGGAATATATGAAGGACGTATGTTGGTGCATGCTTTAGCCCATTTACGGTAAATACTGTCATGAGTGGAATCCTTTTGGGTGCAAAAAGTGTGGTTGCCAAAGTCCTGGTGGTTTTGCAATGCTGTTGTCGTTTTGAATAACTTGATGCAACCTGGTTGAGGGCAACTGAATTCACAAGGTTCACTCGCGGGGATGTGAACGGCTCAATAACCTCCAATCGGGTACTTCCCTGGCTGGTCCCTCTCTTCATTAGCTTATCGTAACGAACGAACTTTCCTTCTCCAACATTGAAGGATTTCCACATCCTGATCCCGTCTGCGTAAAACTTGAAGTTTGAAAACATCAGTACTCCGTTCCAGTTGTGATTATGCAGATTTTGTGCGCGAGTGTCCACCTTTACAACTGATGTACGGCAACCTCTAACTCCGGAGTAAGTTAACTGACGATAACTATGCCTCGTATCTTCCTGCACTTCTTAGCTAAAGATTTCAAGGGATTATTTTCAGTAGAATGTGGACCTACCTCCACTGCCAATACCTAATTTATAGTTGCCTTTAGCGTATTTTGCACAGCAAGTGAATGTGGATAACTCTACTGTCACTCAGGGAATAAGAAGAAAACTCAACATTTCTTCTAATTAGGACACAAATTCGACTACTACAATATCTGAAACTGAAATGGTAATTTAAGGAATATACTGTCAAACCTCCTGTAAACGGTCACTCACAAGAATCAACACAATGTCAACAAACAGGCATCTCTTCCGAGAAGAGATCCCTACAGGTGTCCTTTTAAAAGGTAAAATTTCGGCATGCAATTCCTACGTTTCGTATAAGTGTAGTTCCATGTTGTCACAAAAAAGACTTGCGCATAATCCGGCTGAGCGGCGTAGTACATACAGAGACAGACAAAGCATCATGCACCATTCTGGATATACCCATAGTCAGATGTAGGATATGCCTGTAGAAAATACCTCAAAATCTTCCTTTAGTTTTGTTATGACGGCTGTGACATGCCAAGAGAGGCCTTTCTTTCCAAACCACTCTCCTTGCGTCTCCCTATACTTCAAAGGAAGGAATTTCATTGCCCAATCCATGATAATAAAAGCTTGCTCTGGCGTCATATTGTTGAGGATATCATCCTTTGCTACGTCCTGGTGTACTGCTCTTAAGATGTGGGCCTTCCATCGCTCAATCTTGCCTATAGCGTTACTAATGTCATGCTCTAGTTCTTCCTTTTCGTCTTGATATCTAAAAATCAAAATAAAAAAGTTGATGCTTTCCTTCTGTTATCAAAGCTGTAATTATAATTTCTTGAAGTTTTAGGGCGACATCATTTGCTTGTCTTTGCACGGTATATTTTTTCTTATCCTTTGTTTAATGATGTAAACGCGGCATTGTTTCCGAACTTAAACAACTGTAGATTTCAGTCACCTGAGCCACCCATTTCCAATTGCAAAAAAGGTGATTAAGATATGACAATTAGAAAACTTACTCTTCATGATCAGGTTAAATCACAATATATATCTTCTCGTAATATCCTGTGACGAAATTTTTTCAAATGTGTAAAATGAAACGATTAACGATAAACTGAACAAGACAAAATCTGTTAGGGGAGAAATCTGTCCTCTTTCTTTGGTTTTGACTGCAAGTTTAGGTTTTTGGTTTTGAAAGAAGGAGACTATAGAACATGGTATCAGTAGTCGTTTACCTGAAGTGAAGGTCTCTTGATGACAATGCAAGTTCTATTTCATCAAGAACATTCTTGATATTGTCGCAGCTTTAACATGATTTCGTGTGCTCATGCTCACAGAGATGATCTTCAGGGTCAGACAACGCAAATACCCGGCAATGATCAGCACACTGGCTTTCTTCTGAAACGCGGATCTTGAAGTTTGTCTTAAAGTGGCTTTTACCAGCTTTCAAGCGATCTTTAGCACCTTGAACCCAAGCTGAACTTTTACCTTTAAGAAGGTACGCTAATGTTACCACGCATTTTTTTTAATTATTACTATTTAAGATAAAGCCGCTCATATATGCTCAATTGCATTAAGAGGCCAGGCCTTTGTTAAAATTGCACAGTATAAAATATATGCTTTTTTAAAAAATGGTTTAAAAATGGTTTAAATGGTCTAAATGAGATAACAGAATGTAAAAAAAAAAACAATTTTTCTTTCTTTTTTCGCTCTTCTTCTGATTTTGAATCATGATTTTGTTTTGATACCTACCTGTAAAATACTGAGGAGGGTTGACCTCCCATGTGAAAGGAAACCGGTTTCCTGACAGTACTGCTGGTATAAGTCCACAATCCTTGAAGCAATAACTGTCCTAACCACGTTTGGAATCTCCGTCTTCTCCCCATTCGACAATTTTAGCGTTTTTGTTCCGTAGGCAACATCTTGCACGAAATTTGGTCTGCTGATAAAATCTAGAAAATGGTCTACTTTGCTTGGATCCAGTCTTGCGCGTGTAATGGCCTCCATCTGTTGCATTTTTTTTCCCACCCCCACCTTAGCGGAATGCCTTCTTGCCTCATCTATCGCCCAAATGCTTACTCCAGGAATAAGCAGCTGAAGTTGTGCTTTAGAGTAATCGTTTACAAATACTGATAGGATTTGCCTTTTAGTAAACCAACTGTTGGCCTCTTCGTATAATTTAATCAGGCGCGATATTTCGCTAACATCAGTATCTACACTCTTTTGCCTTTCCTTGTTCTCCATATGTTTCATCAACTCTGAAAGTAATTCTATGGCTTGCCCTGGAGCAAGGCAATCCAGAGCCACTTCAACGATCTCTTTCCCCTTCTGTCCGTAATATCTCTGGGTGCTTGGTGCAGCTTCCTTCCAAGGTATAGTCAACTGACGAACCACAAAGGAATGAACTAACGAACGAACGGACGAACGCACATACAGGAAAATGAATGAATGAAAAAAAATGTGATTTAGCGATCAAGTGGGCGAGTGAAGAATTGAAGAAATGAAAGAATGAGTGGATTGATGAGAGGGATCCTATGCAGAAATCTGAGCGATATAATATCATAATGCATCGGTCAATTCCAGCTGCACCCAGCGCTCCCCCCCCCCCCCGG